AGGCGAGTGAGAAAAGGAAGGGTGCGACGCTCTACATTGTGAACAATTGTGCGTGTGAGTTCTACATTGGCAATACCACAACTATATCAACAACACGCTCGGTGAGGTGAGCATCTACCACACATCATCAATACCAAACCCTCACGCACCAAAACCTAAGGCCTAAGCCTTCAACCCTAAACCCTAAACCCTAAACCCTAAACCCTAAACCCTAAACCCTAAACCCTAAACCCTAAAACCCAAACCGAAAGGACCTTGGAGTCTCTCCCGGCAGTCTGAGGCTACCTGGACCAGGTGAGCTCCAGACCTCTCCTCATCTCAGGAGCAAGTCTCCTACTGGGCTCTCGTTTTGGAGGTTAGAGGGGTTTAGGGTTTAGGGGTTCAAGGGTTTTAGGGTTTAGGGTTGAGGGGTTTAGGGTTTAAGGGGTTTGGGTTTAGAGTTTAAAGGGTGTGGGGTTGAGAGTTTAAAGGGTTTAGGGTTGAGGGGTTTAGGGCTCAGGGGGTTTAGGGTGTAGGGTTTAAAGGGTTTAGGGTTTAGGGTTGAGGGGTTTAGGGTTTAGGGTTTAAGGGGTTTAGGGTTTGGAGTTTAAAGGGTTTAGGGTTGAGGGGCTTAGGGTATTAGGGTCTAGGGTTGAGGAATGCAGGAAGGTAGTTTAAGTTGCCAGAACAGGAAAGCCCTATGATTTACTAAAGATCCCGATTATGGCAACCCGCAAGAACCCAGATTAGGGTCATAGAGGACAGCTTTGGCTTTGGGTTTGAGGTTTTAGGCGTTAGGGCTTCGGGTGTTGGGGTTCTGGCTTTTGGTTTCAGGTTTACGCTTTCGGGTTCAGCGTCTGCAACGGCCTCAGCGCGGAATGTACGCTTCCGTGTTGCAGGACATGGCTTGATGGAGGGCATCGTGAACCACGGCCACCCCACCGGAAAGCTCCTCAATGAAATTGAGGGGCACTGCCATACAGAGAAGTTCCCGCAAGTTGAAAGCACATTTGGAAGGCTGCTGTTGAAGGTTTATTACTATCTATCAGATTTTGCTATTGCTATTTTCATTTCTACTACCATGATAGTTATTATTACTACAACTAATACCATTCTATTACTATTAGTATTTATTATTATCACTTGTTACTATTATTACCGCTTCCATTGTCTGCCAAGGCTCAAGCATCCTGCTATGCGGGAGCTGCAGCTCAATCTCTTTCCAAACCAGGACTCTGCTTCCCAGTCCTAGGGTTTTCATAGGGTTCAGGGCCAGTTTAGGGTTTAGGGTATACGGTTTAGGGTTCCGATAGTTGGTTCCTTTAAGGGCTCCTTTCGATTCAGGGTTCTGTCAAGGGCTCCTTCCTCCTGAAACATGTCGCCCGGACCGCGGCCTCTTTCCTACTGCTGGACACAGAAACTGGAACTTTTTTCAGAATGTTATATGGTATATGTATATATATATATATACATATATACATCTACCGTGCTAGTTACAGATCATCTGTGGTTGATCATGTTAGATCCTGTGTCATATCCTAGTACACGGGTGTGCCCCTAAGATCCGGAAGCCCCCGAGCCAGGACCGCGCCCTGCCGGGTGGAATACCGGGCAAGTGGGGCCCGGAAGCCGGCAGGAGGGCAGGATTCTGCGCCCGAACGATCCTGACGATCATCAAGGATGGGGGTTTAGGGTTTAGGGGTTAGGGGTTTAGGGCTTGGGGGTTTAGGGGTTTAGGGTTTAGGGGGCGGAGTGGCGAGCTACCCCCTGGCCCTAACCATCCCTAAACCCTAAACTCTTCGCGTGGCTTGTGGCGGAGATGGGGTTTTCCCAGTCTTCGGGTTTAGCTAAATGGCATGACTTAGTCGCAGCTTCGCAGTTTGCCTGTGTCCGACACGAGTCCGGCTGCACCCGTAGAGCTAGTAGAGCCTGTAGTTGTATATCACTGTATGATACTGTATGATCAGTGCATCTACATGATATCCCTATTAGTTCATATCAACTTGCATAATTCCGATTATCCTCATTGGCACTTCTACTAAGTACGAGTCGACGAGACGAGGGCACCTTGTGGCTGTGGATTCGCCGCGAGGATGCCGGTACCATTGCCGCATCCATTGAAGCCGACCTCAAGGTTTGCCAGGCCTTTGGGGTTAGGAGACGCAACAAGTGTAGTAATAGTGATAACAGGGATAGTATTAGTAGCAATAATAGTACTCTAATAGTAATACTAGTAGCAACAACAATAGTAATAGTAATTGTAGTAAGAATAGGAATACAAATCGTAGTACTCGCAATGCTAGTAATAATGCTAGTCGCGTGTTTCAGTCTCATGGCGGCTTCGAGTTTAGAAGCTGCTAGCATGCCTGTTCCAGCCTATTCCGCGGTTTAGGGTTTTGGGGTTTAGGGTTTAGGGTTTAGGGGGTTCTGCTTCCAGGACCAGAAGCTAGTCGGCATGGAGTGTGCAGTGGATGCCACGCGCGTGGTCCGCTCAGCTGGCAATGCGGCAAAGTACATGGCGGAGCTCGGGGTTATGCCAGCTGCTCGAGCATTCCGTGCGTGGGGCGGGGCCGTATGTATCTCTGCGCGTAGGCTGATAGAAGCGATGCATGCACTACTCTCAGACTTCCAGTGGCCGAGCCTTTTGCGCTCTTGTCGTCTTAGCACTTATGTCAGTAATAACAGTGATAATAGAAATAAGCGCAATAATGGTAATACTAATAGTAGCCACAATAGTAATGAAGGAGTTCGGGGTAATCTAAGCCCTAAACCCTAAACCCTAAACCCTAAACCCTAAACCCTTAACCAGCTCCAGCTCCAGAGATCGAAGTTTCAGGAGCTCCCGGTTCGCGGCTGCCGTCAGCGATGGCGCCCAAGCTGTACCGATTTTCGAGTGAGAATCGGTTGAGGGGTTTCGGGTTAAGGGGTTTAGGGGTTAGGGGTTTCGGGTTTAAGGGTTTAGGGGTTTACGGGTTTAGGGGTTTAGGGTTTCGGGTTTAACAACTGCAAGTGCATGACTTTTCCGGCCTTTGGGTGTGCTAAGCAGCTAAGTGTAACTCGGACTCCCCGGGCCATCCACGAGGATTGCAAGCACCGAGAGTAGTTTCCCAACCTGCAATCCTAATGCCTACCATCAACTACCAATCTAGTTTTCTGTACGTTCCTATTCTAAACCCTAATATAGCATGTACAGGGACAGTATTCGCACATCGACAGCCGGCGCCTTCAACTCAGGTTCCGCGGCTACTTCCGCTGCGCAGGCCGCATGGAGGTCCCTGCCTGCAGGGAGGGGGTTTAGGGTTTAGGGTTTAGGGGTTAAGGTTTAGGGTTTAGGGTTTAGGGATCCTGTTTTTTGGCGCTCCAGGCCTGCTTTGCTTTTCTTGTCACGATTTCCCTGCGAAAGGGCGTGGCATGGGAGTTGGACGTTCTTGGAACGGAGCTGGGCGGCACGTTCGCACAGGAATCCTTTTTCATTTTCAAGTTTCGCGACTGTCAGGATCAGAATAGCCTTGCCTTTGAGGATGGTGTTGCTTGGTGTTCTATGGCTCTTACTTGGGTGTGTAGGACGTCAGTCCGCGAGTGGTCGTGTTGTTTGAGTTGTGACTTGTGCAGCCGATACTCCCTTTGCCGCGCCCGTTGCATGTCCTGCGCAGTCAATGCTTGCTGGACGACATCTCTTCACTCCTTTCTCGCACTGCGGCACAGCAGCTCAACAGTTGTTGAGTGCCTGGTGCCAGAGTAGGCTCGTATGAGATGTCAATCCGCTTCGTTCGAGACGGAGACGTGCTTGTGGAATGATAGCTGCAGCAATTTCTCTCTGTTTTTTTGCCGCGCAGTCGAAAGGTGCTACGGTGGAGTCGTGTCACAATCTGGACCTGGACTATCGCCACATCCTACGGACGAATGCCACAAAGAAGGGCATCAATTGGGGTACCATGGTTGCACTGTGCCATCGGGGCAATGTTCCAGAGCAGCACGTGCAAGTCGAGGAAGGCTCCGACCTGTCATTCATGCTCATGCATGGTGAGGTGTGGTTCAACCAAAACCCACATCCTAAACCCTGAACCCTGAAAGATGCAAGACATGCTGTTATTCTCAGGGTATTTCTGAACAGAAGGGCGAGGCAAGCTCTGTGTCTCTCTGTCTTCATGTGGCTTGGGTTTTTCATGACCACACACACACACACACACACACACACACACACACACACACACACACGCGGCACGCGAGAGAAAGCTGCTGTCGCAGACCTGGGCCTGCTTTGCACAAGTTCTCGAGGTAGGTGTGCTGGCGACGTGGCCTCTTCGGCCGGCTACGCGCCACTGGGTGAAGTTGGGATTCATGTACCATTGAATCCGGTTTGTGGAGTGAGCCGTTTCCCTTTCGATACACTGCTGGCCTCCCAGTTCCACTGCCGGTCTCTACGTGGCAAGTGCCGGGGGTTTTGATTGCCCAGCTGCCGTGACGCCCAAGCAGAAGAAGGACTCCGGCACTAGAGGGACCTGACTTAGAGCTTTTAGCCTCTGGTGATCGCAGGAAGCCTTCAAGGTCTCCAAGCATCCCTGGACGTATAAACGGTTGACCAAACAGTGCCTTGGCAGAGATCGTCCTCCTAGAAATAACAGACACCATAGAACAGCCATGCGTCCGGCAATCTTGGGGCAATAGCCCTAAACCCTCACCGCACTAGCCCTATAACCTCTGTTTCCTCGCGCGGTACACCACCTGCTGGAGCTGGCGGGCGCCAGAGCAGACAGCCGCATACTTCTGATGAAACCTTGTAACTTATAACTTATAACCTTTTTAGAACCCGAAGCCAGAACTCTTGTAGGGTTCGTAGAGAACCCTCGATGCATCCTTTCGAAGTCAGGGTCTCTGCATCCAGCTCATGGTGACTGTGGTTGCAGGAACGAACTTCAGACCAACAGAGCATCAGAGAGCCCTTACAGAGAAATCGTTCTTGAAACTTGTATAGAAACCTTTACAGAAACCATTATACAAACCTTTAGCGAGACCTTTATAGAAACCTTTATCGACGCCTTGATAGAATAGGGAAATCCTCAAGAATATAGAATTCCTCAAGAACCTTATAGAACCAATCTCGATGCCCTCTACTCCTCTGTTGCCATGCCCAATGTACCTGATGAGCTGGCCAATAGCTGGCCAAGGGTTCAGGCTTTGGGGTTTCGGTTCTCTGTTTAGTAAGGTGAAGGCTTCAGGATGTGGGGTTTAGGGTTTTGGGGGTTTAGGATTCAGGATTTGGGGTTTTGGGGTTTAGGATTCAGGATTTCGGGTTTAGTAAGGTGTAGGGTTTATGGATCAATCCTGGGCGCAGGCTCACCCCTGGTGACACATTCAGGACCGACTGCGCCATAGAGCCTTGGACAGAAAGCCGCCAACCCTAAACCCTAAACCCTGAGCCCCAGGCCCTTAACCCCCAAACTCCGAACCCCATAACCCTAAACCCCAAACCCTAAACCCTAAACCCTAAACCCTAAACCCTAAACCCTAAACCCCTAAACCCTAAACCCCTCAACCCTAAACCCCTCAACCTTAAACCCCTAAACCTTAAACCCCTAAACCTTAAAGCCCAAACCCCTAAACCCTAAACCCCTAAACCTTGAGCC